GCGAGCTTGGGCGGGTCATTTGGGGCAGCGCCAGATGCCACTTCCACCGGCGGTAGGTTGCCGCAATACACGAGTCCTTGTTGGCGTTTGGGCCACCAATCACCATTGGGAGAAGCACGTTGGAGCAATTGTTGTATTTCTTTGTCTGAACCTCTCGGCGCATCTGCTTTGAATTGCGATCTGGTCCGATGTATATGTTAGTCTCGTAACCGTCGACACTGGTGGCACTGAATGTCCTCCATCTGCCCGTAGCATCACGTTGCGCACGCACCAATGCCCGGGCCCCAGGAGTGCCAGCTTCACCTCCTGCGCAATGCAGCGCGAACTTCTTGCTTGGAGCATCGGGGCCCACGATCTCAATCTTGTTTCCCAGCAGCGCCGCCTTGGTGACCTCGGTCCCTATGTTGATACTGAAGAGGCGGGGTTTGGCCTCCCTGGTCCATGTCGCAAGCCTGGCGACTGTTGCTCTCCGATGCGGCCGCTGTCTCTGCAAGCGCCAGCGTCTCCTGCATGCGTTGGACTTCGCGTCTGAGGTTCTGCTGCTCCTGTTCGAAGCTAGTCGCACGGTCCTGGACGCCGCGCAGGTCTGCCTCGGCAGCAGGGCCTCTGGCAATGGTGGGAGCCAGATGGACCTGCGCAGCGCCTGCCAGGTCGTGCTGGATGTTGGCCATGGCATTGGCCACGGCGGCGCCGATGAAGTTCTGGAGTTCCCTTTGGATGTGGCTGAAGTGGTTGCCGTTGGAGGCCGCGATCCTCTGCTCCAGGGTCGCGTCGGGGAAGGACTGTGGAGGTTGTTGAGCTCGAGCATGGGGGTTGGGAGCTGTGACTTCGAGGGGCGAATCCCTCCGCTCCAAGCCCCAGGGAGTGCAGCATGTACTGGGACAGGATGTTGTTCTGATCCAGCTGGCGCAGCAGGATGAGCTTGTTGGGCACCATCACGGGGGCAGAGGCTGAGGAGAGGCGGCAACTTCTTGGACTGCGTCAGCCCAGCGGGGATCCTCGTAGCGCCATCTTCTGCGATGCCATGGGTCACGATGGTGGATGGAATCTCGTTCTTGTGTTGGGAACGTGTTGGGGGTCAACTCCCCCCATCTGTCAGCAGAATGGCCAGGAGGACCGCGCCGATCGCCACGTTCATCACTGCGACTGCGGTGTGCCTGGGCTGGGGACTGCGGGGGCCTCCCGCTGTCGCGCGCAGCACCTGGCGGCACCTTTGCTTCGTCTACGGTGCGGGTGCTCCGGCAGGAGCTCACACAAATGAGCGCGAGGCAGAAGCTTTTGGGCGGCAGCGCGCAGCTCGACCTTCAATGCCAGAAGACCTCAGAGTCCTTCGGGGCAGAGGTGGCCGGTTTCTGCCCCGAGAGGGAAGTCATCTTGAACCAAAACGGCTGCGGGAGTAAGGGGAAAGAGGAGGAGGAGGAGGAGGAGGAGGAGGAGGAGGAGAAGGAGGAGAAGAAGAAAATCGAATAAAACCGGGCCTCAATTCGAAGATAACGCGGGTACAGCGAAAAATTATATAGCCAGTCTGAACGACCACCGTGAGCGACCACGTGCGGCTAGACAGCGCCGCGCTGTTGGCGAGCATGACGCGAAGCCGAAGAGATTTTGCAATACGGCCGTCGGCAAAACGGCGGAGGGAGAAAGGAAGAGGAAGAGAGGGCACTGCGACGCCACAGGCTGGCGCCGGGCAGAGCGCAGCAGAGACTCCAAAGCAGAATGGCCGCGGGCGCCCTCCCGCAGCAATGCGGGCAGAGCGGAGACGACGGCGCCCGCGCGCAGAGATCCGCAGCGAGCGTCGCCGTGCGCCCTGTACACTGCGTGCACTGTCAGAGCCCGTAAGATCGTGGCCTGTTCTTCGCTGTCCTCGGGTTGGGCGGAGATCCAGCAGCTCGCCCGCTTGGGCCATCCTTGGGTCCTTTTGGGGGGCTTGGTCCGTCGTGGGGCCTTCTTGGGGCCCTCTGGGATCCTCTGGGGGACCTCCAGGGGCCCTCCTCGGGACCTTGGGAACTTCAGGGGCCTTTCTTGGGCCGTCTTGGGGCTCTGTTGGGCTGTCGTGGAGCCCATTGGGGCCGTCCTGGGGCCCTCTTGGGACTTCTTGGAGCGGTCTTGGGGCCTCTTGGGCCGTCTTACACGGTATGAACACGAAAAAAGCGGATGTGCCCAACATAGACGTTTACCCGAGGGCATGGGACGCTTTTGGCATATTGGGGGTCATCTGGAGGGCCTCTTGGAGTGTCTGGAGGGCCGGTTTGGCCGTCTTGAAACCATCTTGGGCCGTCTTTGAACGCTCTTGGGCCGTGTTGGGGTCCTTCTGGGCTTCCCTAAGGCCGTAGTGGAGGTGACTTCAGTCGTCTTGGGAGCCTCCTGGGCCGTCTGACGTTTGGCCACATAGGCGTATCCCAACAAAAAGCAGGGGGGCGTCAATGATTCGCCGTAGGCGTTTTCGATATCCGCCACCCCCTGCGGTCTTGCCAAAGGGGTGCACGGCGTGCCACATGTCTGGCAAGCTTGTGGTACTTTTCTAATTCAGAAAAGTACCACAACTCCCCGTGAGGTTCTAATCGCCTCCAACGCGGCTCAGGTGGCCTCGAAGATGGTCCCAAGACGCCCTCAAGACGGCCAAAAAGGCACCAAGAGAGCCCAAACTGGTAGAAGCATGGGGCCAAGACGGCGAAGTATGTACTTAAGACGGTCTGAGATGGCCTCAAGGTTGCCCAAGACGGCCCAAGAGACGCCCAAGAGGCCCCTAAGACGACCCAAGAGGACTCCAAGACGTCCCCTAGGAAGACACGAAGAGGCCCACATCATTGATGCTCCATCAATGTTTGAATGATGTTGGCGTTTGCTTCAAAATGGCATTCTGACGGCCTAATACGGCCCCCAAGCTTGCCCCACTATTGCCCCAAGAGGCCTCCAAGACGGCCCCAGGACGGCCCAAGGGGCTCCCAAGACGGCCCGCAAAAGGCCCAAAGACTACCCAAGGAGCCTCCAAGACGCACACAATGGCCTTCAAGACGACCCTAAGAGTCTCCCAAGAAGGCTTCCGACGGCGTCAGACGGGCCAGAAACGCCGTAAGACGGCCAAGGAAGCCCCCAAGACGCTCCCGAAGGCCCCCAAGGGGCTCAAGACGGCTCACGAGAGACCTCCAAGATGCCCCCAGGAAACTCCAAGGAAGCCGCAAAAATGACCCCCAAAACTCCCATGAGGTCGCCCCTTCCGTCTCCTCATCCTCCTTTTCCTCCCTCTGCTCATCCTCCTCTTGCTACCAACCGCGGTCACCGAAATGTTCCCACAACGGCTGGGGGAACGCATGGTCCAATAGCGTGGCCAATATTTGCCCAAACGTTTGGCCACATAGGCGCATCCTGAAATGCAGGGGGCGGCGGTGATTCGCCGGAGGCGTCTTTGCAAACAAATTTGTGTATATATGCATTACGTAGATGCACGGGTTTATCGATTTCATTGTTTATCAGATGTACATATGACTTTTTTAATACTTACTATCTGTCGATCACACGATTGATCTGTCTCACTATCAACTTCTCTATCGATCTCTCGATCGGCCTCACCATCATTGTGAACCTGTCGATCTCACTATCGATCCGTCGGAATAACTATCGAAACAATCAAAACTTGTGTTGGCCAAAATCAATCGGGACAAACACGAGACAACGATCGGGGCGCCAGGCGCATTCCTTAACCGAGACGCAGGGAAACCATCGAGACAACACTCGGAACAACCATGAGAACAACCATCGGGACAACCATCGTGACAACCACGAGGACAACCGTCGGGACAACCACGAGACAATCACAAAACAACCGCGGGCACAATCCGCCAATCAGGCGAAGGGACAGCCTTTTGCTTTGACTTCGCCCCAACGGCGGCGGGATCACTCCTCTCGCCCGCGCACGCAGTTTCGCCTCGCTCGCACACACGCACCGAAATCGGTCTGCTGGTGGGGGGGTGTCGCTACGATCTCACCCCCACTCGCAGTCTGTCTGCCGATCTCAATAAATTTAGGGACAGCCATCGGGACAATCATCGGCAGAACCGTCGGGGCATCCATCTGGACAACCATCGGGACAACCATGGGGACAACCATGGGGACAACCATCGGGACAATCACCTGGACAACCACAGGGACAACCACAGGGACAACCATCGGGACAACCATCTGGACAAACATTGGGACAACTATCGGGTCAACCTTCGGGACAAGAATCAGGGAAGCCGTCGGGACAAATATCGGAACAACAACAATCGGGACAACCATAAGGACAACCATCGGGACAACCAATCGGGAAAACCTATCGGGACAAGTACGCGCCACGGCCGCCGCGAGGGCGACTCGTTTTTTCTGACTTGGTCCCTGCTAAAGGGACAAACTCGCGCAACTTCGCCTCGCCTGGCACGCCCGTACGTCACGCACGACACGGACCGAAGCCGACATCAATGTTCCAGTTGGAGTACCTCCTATAATGTGTTTGCAATGCTCGTATGCCGTCTGTGCTCCTATTGACAAGCGTTCTCTCCATCTCCCCCTCTTTCTCTCTCTGCATAATTTCGTTAACGCCCGTACTCAGCAAAGGCCCATGCAGTTCGAGCACTGATAGGAGAAACAATTATCCTGTCTTGGTGAAGCGGGCAGCCAAACACGTCATCGGTCGCGACCAATCTTCGAGCAAGCTGTAAGCAATATGCGACGGAAACGGAAGCAAGCTGGGAACGCCAGCTGCGCAAAGCCAGCACGGCGTCCTCGGACTGTGCTGATCCAGTTGCCTGCTCGCCGAGACGAGCGAACGCCAGGCAGGTCGATGTAAGCAAAGGGACAGCGTACCACAAGAGATGTCTCGGAGCCAGGCTGAGGAGACGCTGGGCCTGAGCGAACCAAACCAAGGACTGCCTTCGGCGCTCGGTCATCCCCCTGTTATCCTTCCCCTCCCTCCCTCTGCCTCGCCCTCCGTCCCTTTCCCCCAGGAGAATTTCACTTCGAGCCCAGATCCTGCGCGATCGGGGTTTCTGCCGGCGGCTCGTCCCGCAGACAGAAGATGAAATCGAACACCTCCTCTGTGAGGTCTTCGGGCCGGATGCCGCTCTCCCCCTCGATCAGGTGGGAGACCTAGAGCGTCATTATTTGGCTCATTGACTTCTCTCACCGGGCTGTAGCAGCGCGGTGATAGCAAAAGAAGAAGACCAGCGTGGAGAATGGTGAAACCGTCTCGGCCGTCTTGAGGGTCTCTGGGGACCCTCTTGGGGCCCTTTTTGGCCGCCTTCCCCCCTCTTGGGCCGTCTTGGGGCCGTCTTGGGAACTGCGACTTCACTGTCAAGGCGGTCGCTGGCCACGTCCAGACGTCTCGTCGTAGCGTTTGGGGGGCCAGACAAAAAGATCCCCATCCGTCGCCACCAGGATCCAACTAAAGTATAAGCACTCGCTGCTGCTGTGTGGGCATGGGGATCAATACCTGTGTCGCGACGGCAATGGATGGACGCCTTTGTTCAAGCTGTCTTGACATGCCGTGCGCGTGAGACGGGACAAGAGACAGGAACGCCTGGATGATACCTGCTGACTCCGAGAACATTGGACATGAGATCGATGGGCCACTGACGATATAATTTGCGAATGCGTGCAGACACGTAACGACTTGAATGCCCCAAATTCTGCACACGCAATTGCTTTGACAGGTTCAACTCGCGTCTGTGTGCTCTTCGCGGGACCTCATTGTGCTTGATGTTCGAAGCCCTCGCAACACGATCAGCGCAATCTTTACTCAGGCGGGTTCGTCTGCACTACGCTCACCGAAACTCCACTTCTTGAAGGGCTGGTGCGATGCCCCCACTTCGTATGCTAACCGAGGTGCGATATTGTGGTGGGATGCCCGATGATATTCGGCACTGACGCCCAGCGGTGCCCAACATCACAAACATTACAAGCGCGCAGCTGTGCTCAGTTCGGCCATCTTACTTTCCTCAGTCTGATCAAGGTTCCCTTCTGGCCCTGCGAGTTGTATTCGCATCCCCATGCTAAAAACAAGGACCCACGCGCGACGCGAATGGATTTAAGGGGCATGCAACTGAATCGATTTGCACGCATATTCACATACACTTATGTGCATATCGTTTCAATGTGCTCCGATATCCTAGACGAGCAATGCTTAGTAGCTTCCACGAGGCACACGGTTGGAAGCTTACTTTCGATTCACGGCGTGGGCTGTATGCGATGTTTTTCCCGCAGGATTGCACTTTTGCCCTCTGAGTACATTGCCCCCCTGGCAGCGGAGCCTTCTGGACCAAATCTCGAATGTTATTGCCTCGCCGCCTTGCAAAAAACGACCAGCTCTGTGCATGCCTCGTGGCTCCAACATTAAGTCCTTGCTCCCTGCATCCTCCACACTGCTGGGTGCACTTGAACCGTATTGGTTCGAGGCGACTGGGATCGAACGGGGGATGATGAAGCAAGTCGAAGCTGAAACTCTGATGCCCATGTGTGACGGCCCGTTCGCCGACCGCTGCTCAGGCTTATATCGTTCCACTCTCGAAACTGTGCTTAAGACAAAGCAAAACGCCGCAGCAATGGATAGCCGGAGGGTTGACCAGCTGGCTGATTGGGCCACAGACTTTTGAATTTGTTTGTCCTTGCAGCGTATGGGCACGCGAAAGCTCTTTCCGAAAACAAGTCGCAGGACGAGCAATGAATAAATTGCCCTCCACCAGTTAAGCGCTCCCGCGGGAACACATACGTACCAAAACCCCTCTCGCAAGGAGCGCGACCGTGTAGTATGCCATGTACACGGTGGAGTCGCCTTGGAGGTGCTGGCCCAACAAACCATCAGATAGAGCTCGAGGTGGCTGACCGATCTCGAGCACATGCTCAACACATCTACGCGAAATGATCAGTGATAGGCCGATCGCCCGCCAACCAATCGGTCGACATCGATCTTCATCACGACCGAGATCCAAACGCATCCCAGCGATCACATCCGGCTCCTTTGGCCGAGTCACTCAAGCTCTCGATGAGCCACTTCTCGTCCCACGGCAGCTTGGTGCCCAACCCGAAGGTGCGGGAGCATGCCCAGTCGCCAAGCCAGCCGACGGCGTAGGAGAGGTCGTTCAGGGCGGAGTCGCTGAACATGTTGAAGTCTGTGTCAACCTTTCGGAAGAGGTTCGGGAGGGATCGGAGGAGGAAGAGGAGGAGGAGCAGCGGGACAAAGCAGGAAGACGAGGAGAAACATAGAGGCCGACTAAGCTCGTGACGTGCTGCTTGACCCTCCGCGTCCAGTCCTCGTCCCCGTACTTCAAGTACCACTGGTCGCAGAGAGCGACAACACACTCGTCGCCAGACCGCGCCACCACCCGACTCTCTGGTTCGAAGTATCGAGCAGCTTGCCCTTGTTTGATAAGCTCCTCCTTGATTTTGTCCTTGACGTCCATCACCTTTAACCGATGAGCTGTGCGCAGGTGGCAGCAACGACCAGATGATGGACACATCTCAATGGTGCACGGCACCTTTCATCAGCCACGCAACGTCCAGCATCGAAGTGTTTCTGTTCGGCTCTAGCTCTCGGGGAAACTGCTCGCTTGGACTACTTCCAGAGCGTGGGCAAGGCTGACATATCGCACGAGCAACGCTCGAAATGTCTTGTGCCGATGAAGTACACACGAGAAGGTCCCGCTGGCGTGACTGAGTATGGAACTCTCGCGATCGCTTGTGATTCTCACTTCCTGGCGCGATTCAACCGTCGTCTCCATGTTTGTCAACCCGCCTTTCCCTGCCTATCTCCCCAACTCCAGGGGTTAAAACGAATGATTCTGAGAATGAGAAAAGGGGGATGAGGAGGAGGAAGAAGAGGAGGCGGGAGGGAGGATCTTCGTCCCCTGGGAGGGTAGAGAAGGAGGGTGATCTTCGATGCTATCTCCTGCCGTCTGACGCCGGCTGGGCTGGGCTGCCTTCTGGCCTGCATACTGGCCCACGGAGAGCACGCCCGAGTAAAATCCTTTCAGGTAGACCTCCTTCTTGGCTTTGGCGAGCTTGTCCTTTTCCTTCGGTGTGGATGGTGGTGGGCCGGGAAGGGGGGGGGGGGGGGGGCGAACTGCTGGGGGATGAAAGGAAAGTGAAGGGGCAGAATGGCAGGAGAGAGGGATAGTGGAAGGAGGCATGAGGGATGGGGGAGCGGTGTGGGGAGGGGGGCAATATTGTGGCGGGGAGGGGAGGTGGAACGGACGTGAAGGGGCAGGGGAGGGGGAGGGACTGGGAAAGGGAACGCTGGCAGCAAATGTAATGGAAACAACCTCCCCTCACAGGAAAAACAAGCAACCCCACTTCACCCACATTCTCCACCGTCCACTCCTGACCTCCCTCCTCCCTCCCCTGTCCCCCTATACCCGCAGCGAGCGCAGCACCAAACTACCGTCAAGCGCGAAAAATCGTCCGTCGAAGTGCGCGGTGGAGCACTGGACGAACGACGGGGAGGGCGAGTTTCAGCTCGCCCGCCTCCAAGCGACGCAGGGAAGCGGGCTGCGCCTCCCTCGCCTCTGTGCGTGGGACAGGTTTTGTGCGTATGTATATATACACATACATACATACATATACATATATATATATAGGAATACAGTAGTACCATCGCGCGCGCTTCGCGCGGGCTCAAGTTCAAGTTAGGCTTGATAGGCTAACTCATGTAATCTCATGTTGGTCGCTTCTTGAATCCAGGGACTCCCTGGTGGGTCTGCGGCCTCGGAATCGTATAGAAGGGGAAGTGCGGAAACGCAGAAATCATTAATTTCCTTTCGGTATTCAACGATTGGGGGCTCTCAAAGGCTTCCTGGGTTCTTTTTTGGGAGGTGAGGGAGGTCTGACTTGTGGCCTGTTGTGTAAGAGTAGACCGGGGGCCAAACTTGGACGCAAAACATGGAATTGTGGGATTTCCATTTCTTCCCAACCCTCTTGTCTTTGGTTCTCGTTTTGAATAGAGCAGTGTGGCCGCCCCGTCCTTCCTCCTCCTCCCCTCTCTTCCTCATCCTTCTCTCCTATTTCCTGTGTTCCCCTCTCCTCTTCTCTCGTGCCGCCCCCTCCGGGGCTTGCGATCTGCGTAACTGTCGCCACTTTCGTGGGCTCCTGGGAGGCCCAGCGGAGGTACGTCATACGCGGACCACCTCGGGACCTCGCCGCCCCCTGGGGGGCTTGCGATCTGCGCAACTGTCGCCACTTTCGCTGGCTCCTGGGAGGCCCAGCGGAGGTACGTCATACGCGGATCTGGTACCTCACCGCCCCCTAGGGGGCTTGCGATCTGCGCAACTGTCGCCGCTTTCGTGGGCTCCTGGGAGGCCCAACGGAGGTACGTCATACGCGGACCACCTCGGGGCCTCGCCGCCCCTGGGGGGGTGCTTGCAATCTGCGCAACTGTCGCCACTTTCGTGGGCTCCTGGGAGGCCCAGCGGAGGTACGTCCCACGCGGACCAACTCGGGGCCTCGCCGCCCCCTGGGGGGCTTGCAATCTGCGCAACTGTCGCCACTTTCGTGGGCTCCTGGGAGGCCCAGCGGAGGTACGTCCCACGCGGACCATCTCGGGGCCTCGCCGCCCCTGGGGGGCTTGCAATCTGCGCAACTGTCGCCACTTTCGTGGGCTCCTGGGAGGCCCAGCGGAGGTACGTCCCACGCGGACCACCTCGGGACCTCGCCGCCCCCTGGGGGGCTTGCGGTCTGCACAACTGTCGCCACTTTCGTTGGCTCCTGGGAGGCCCAGCGGAGGTACGTCATACGCGGATCACCTCGGTACCTCGCCGCCCCCCGGGGGGCTTGCGGTCTGCACAACTGTCGCCACTTTCGTTGGCTTCTGGGAGGCTCGGCGGAGGTACGTCATACGCGGACCACCTCGGGACTTTGCCGCCCCCTGGGGGGGGGGGCTTGCGGTCTGCGCAACTGTCGCCGCTTTCGTGGGCTCCTGGGAGGCCCAACGGAGGTACGTCATACGCGGACCACCTCGGGACCTCACCGCCCCCTGGGGGGCTTGCGATCTGCGCAACCGTCGCCACTTTCGTGGGCTCCTGGGGGGCCCAGCGGAGGTACGTCATGCGCGAACCACCTCGGTACCTCGCCGCCCCCGTGCGATCTGCGCAACTGTCGCCACTTTCGTGGGCTTCTGGGGGGCACAGAGGAGGTACGTCATACGCGGACCACCTCGGTACCTCGCCGCCCCCTGGTGGGGGGCTTGCGATCTGCGCAACCGTCGCCACTTTCGTGGGCTGCTGGGAGGCCCAGCGGAGGTACGTACCACGCGGACCACCTCGGGACCTCGCCGCCCCCTGGGGGGCCTGCGATCTGCGCAACTGTCGCCACTTGTGTAGGCTCTGGGAGGCCCAGCGGAGCTACGTCCCACGCGGATCACCTCGGGACCTCGCCGCCCCCTGGGGGGCTTGCGATCTGCGCAACTATCGCTACTTTCGTGGGCTCCTGGGAGGCCCAACTGATGTACCCACGCGGATCACCTCGGTACCTCTCCGCCCCCTGGGGAACTTGCGATCTGCGTAACCGTCGCCACTTTCGTGGGCTTCTGGGAGGCCCAGCGGAGGTACGTCATACGCGGACCACCTCGGTACGTCGCCGCCCCCTGGGGGGCTTGCAATCTGCGCAACTGTCGCCACTTTCGTGGGCTCCTGGGAGGCCCAGCGGAGGTACGTCATACGCGGACCACCTCGGTACCTCGCCGCCCCCTGGGGGGCTTGCGGTCTGCGCAACTGTCGCCGCTTTCGTGGGCTCCTGGGAGGCCCAGCGGAGGTAACTCCCACGCGGTGACTGGGTGCTCCTGCTTATCCTCGAGGCCGCGACCTTTTTCTTCCACTTTTGGGTTCTTTTCTTTGGGTTCGCTGCCGCGCCCTTTTTGTCTCCACTCTTGGGTGAGTCTCCGCCCCCGTTATGCACCTCATGCGTTTGCCTCTTTCAGCGCAGCGCGTTGCTGAGTTCAACCGATGTTCTGGTTTAGCCCTCGCCGCCCCCCGCTTTTGTGTTTCTTTCAACGCCCTGGTGCTTCCATTGTGTATGTTTGCTGTTCCTCTTCTTGATATTCTCTTCTGATTTCACTCCTGAGTGCTCTTATTGCGCACTGCGGGTCCTTCTGAATGCCAGTCAGCATTGAGTGGTCCTGAATATAAGCGCCACGTGTATAAAAAGGGTTGGGTACGTCGAAGGGTACTTTCCAGTTCCTCGGCGCTGTTCGGCGCTGTTTTTTGTTTGTGCCTCGCGGGTATTGTTAGCCGGGTCCCTCAGGGGTGTGGGATCTTCCAGACCCCCTGGGGGTTCTGGAGGCCTCCTGGAGGCCTGGAGAGCCGTCGGAAGGGTGTCTCGGGCTGCTTGGGAGCGTCTTGGGCCGTTCTTTAATTGCGTTCTGGGAGCTTCTTGGGGTCGTCATGGGCTGTCCTTCAGCATCTTGGGATCTCCCCAAGAAGCCAGGAGGCGCGGTACCGGCCAGATGTCAGGGGATGTGTAGGACCCCCGAGTAGGAGTTCCACTTGGAAAAAAAAGAGTTGAATTCTTGGAATACTTTTTCCCCCAAATTCTCGACCTTTGAGGGTTGGAAGCGGGAAAACGTGAGAAGGCGAAAAGCTAGTGAAAAACCATTGGGAATCAACGATTTTACCCTCTTTGGGCTCTCTCGGGACGGCTCTCGCAACTCTCTTGGGCTGTTCTTGGAGCCTCGTCGGGGTCTTTTTGGAGCCTCTCAGGGAGTGTTGGGAGAATCTGGGTGGTCCCGGAGGCCTCTCGGAGGTCTCTGGAAGCCTCCTGCTCCCGCCCTTGAGCCCATCTTGGGCCTGTTCTGGGGTGGTCTGGGGCTGTCCTGGGCGCCTCTTCGGCAGTCTTGGAGCCTTCTTGGCCCGTCTTGGGGCCGTCCTGAGGGTCTCTTAGGTGATCGTGGGGCGGTCTTGGGAGCCTCTTCGGCGCTCTTGGACCGTTGGAAGCTCGAAAACGCGAGAAGACAAACACATTGAAACAAAAACAATGAAAATCTACGATTTGGGCCTCTTCGGGCCGTCCTGGGACGCCTCTCGGACCTCTCTTGGGGTCTCTTGGAGGCCACCTGGGAGCATCGAGAGCCGTCGGAAGGCTGACTTGGGCTGCTTGGGAGCGTCTTGGGTCATCCTTTCGCATTCTGGGGGCTCCTGGGAGGCGACTTGGGCCCTCCTGGAGCGCTGTAGAGGCCCCCTAGAAAGGCCCGGGGAGCGGTACCAGGAACGTTCTCGAGGTGTCGCGCGGAGGTGTGGGACCCGGGGCCGGGGGGGGGGCGGTATTCATTTTTATATTAAGTTCTAATATGTTATATTAGATTACATACTAGTATATTAAAATATGGTGTTGGATCTTATACGGTAGTATCGTACATGGTATTATATCATGTTATAGTGTAGAATCTTCTTCTATACTATATTATATTATAGTATACTGCATTATATGGGTACTATATTATGTTATGCTATATCATATTAAATTATGATGTACGATATTATATGGCAGTATAATGTAATGTAGTGTATTGTGTTATATTATGTTGTGCCATAGTTTACTATGTTATACTATATTTTATTATGTTGTATTATATTATGTTGTATTATATTGTATTGTATTATATTATAGCATATTATGAAATATTATAGTATATTACATTATATTATATTATATTGTATTATATTATGTGATATTATATTATACTATATTATATTATATTATATCATATTATATTATACTATATTATACTTTAGTGTATTAGATTATATTACATTATTCTATATTATATAATATTATAGCATAATATATTATGGTATAACACACTGTATTATATTTTAATACATTAGTTTATATTATTTTATAGCACAATGCATTATATTATATTGTACTGTAGTATCTTATAAGCTCATATATTATATTGTAGTGTGTTCGTCTAACATAATACAATTTTAGTATATTGTATTATACTGCAATATCTTATATTGTAGTCTCGTACCGTGTATTATCATATATTCTGGTATACGCTATTATTTCAGAGTATACCATATTCCATTGTATGTTCTCTATACATAGATGGACAACCTCGCCTGCGCCCTCGGACCAGCCCTGGAGGTTGCCTGGGAGACGCTCCGCAAGCAGAGCCGTGACTTGGAGCTCCAGCGCCCTCCCTGGAGCGCCTCGATGGCGAAATTCCCTGGGAGGCGGGGGCTCCCGCGCCTTCCCTGGCGGCTTGCGGCGGCTCCTAGAGCATGCTCGAGGCTGCGCCGCACGTGCGAGTGCGTCGTGCGGTGGCCCGTGGTCGGGGCCTCCGCATGTGACAACACGCTTGCGGTGGCCCCTGGGGCTTGCTGGGGGCGGCTTTGCACTTGAAGACAAACTTGCGACTGCCCCTGCCCTTGCGGGAAGCTGCTCTATTCCGCGAGTGAGCAAAATACTACTCGACGCGGAGATCCCCATATGTGCGTCTCACTTTCCTGGCACGTCTCGCTGTTATTGTGTGGCTATGAATTTCTGTCTACCTTTCCCCTCCTCCTCCGCATCCCTCCTCCGCTTTTCTCGCTCCTCGCTCCTCCTCGGTCCTTCTCCTCCCTCCCCCTCCTCCGTGCTAACACCCCTTGTGACTCTCTCTCAGGGTACTGAAGTCAGCGACTGGCTGGAGACATCCTCACCATCTGGTTTGAAATCAAACAATTCCAAGGCGCCGAACAGTCAAACCGCCTCATGCATCCCCACAATCTGGGCGCGAACGGGCGAGCGAGATATCCCCTGGCAGCTTCCATTGGGATGCTGAAGCCAGCGCGGCGTCCCTTAGGGTGCTGAAGCCAGCGCCTCATCTGAGACATGCTCGCAATCTGCTCTGAAAGCACAGGGAGTCTGGGTTAGCAGGCAAATCGCTTGGAACATCGAGCTCCCAAGGTTTCCTGGAGTTTCCTGGGAGCTCCCTAGTGCTTCCTACTAACAATGTGTCATGGGGCTCCCTTGGATTTCCTGGAGCATCCCGGAACTTCCTGAGTTCCTGGGAGCTCGCGGCTTCCCGGGGCTCCCCGGAGCCTCCTGGGATATCCCAAGGCTGCCTGGGAGTTCGCTGCAAGCTTCCTGGAGCTTCCTGAAGCTCCCTGGACCTTCTCGGGCCGTCCCGGAGCTTCCTGGGAGCTCCCTGCAGGAGCTTCCTGGCGGGGCTCTCAGGAGCTTCCCGGGGGTTCCTCGAGCGTCCTGGGAGCTCCTGGGGTCTCCCTGGATCTTTAGGAGCTTCTGGGGGCTTCCTGGGAGCTCCTGGGAACTCCCTAGTGCTCCCTGGAGCTTCCTGGGGCTCACTGCAGCTTCCTGTAACATCCTGGGGTTTCCTAGGAGTTCCTGGGGCTCGATGGGGCTCCCACCTTATGGTGCTGAAGCCAGCGCCTAGCCTTAGATATCCTCAGAATCTGCTCTCCGAAAGAAATAGAACTAGCACCACGCGCGCTTAGGTTGCGCTCAAGGATCTATCATCGCAAACTGCCGCTGGGTGCTGCCAGGTTGACTCGGGAGTTCTCTTAAGGTTGGTCGTGGGAACTGCCGCCATTTGATGTGGTAGCCCAGAAGACGTAGGGGTCTATGGGGGCTTCTACGACGCGTCGTCTAGGGCTGAAAAAGTTCCAAAGAGAAATGGGGTACCTCAGTCTGGCTCCGCATTGCCTGGTGCCCCGGGGCCGGAACCTTTGCGTATGAATGTATATATAGATGAATGTGCACATGTGTCTACATAGATTATATGTACTTATGTTTGACGATGTGTATGCATGAATGTTCGTATATGCATACAGAAATGCACATATATACATATGTATGCATGTATGTGTAGATTGTATGCATCTAGCTGTATGGTGTATGTATGTATGCATGCATGCATGCGTGTATGAATGTGTGTATGAATGTATGCAGGTATGCATGTGTATGTATATAATTGTGTTTATGCATTTATATGTCTATGTAGATATATGCCTTTGGACCATCCCGCCGCGGTGCCTGGGCAGTGTGTCGGAGGCCTCTTCGATTTTCGTTGGTACTTCGTGGGAAGCCTTTCGGGAACCTCGTCGAGGGCGGCTGTGAAACCTCTTGGAGGCCGTTTTGGAGATTCTCGGGGCCATCCTGGGAACCTTTTGGGGCCTGTTGGGGGGCCTCTTGGGAACCCCCGAGCGCCTGCCTCGTCGGGGCCTCTTTGGGCCTCCTGGGGGCCTGGGGGGACGGAAGGCTGGAATTGTGAGTTTGTGTTTCTCCTCTTGGGGTTCTCTTGGGCCGCTCTGGGGTCCCTCTTGGGCCGTCTTGGGGGGGCTTCTTGGGCCGTCCTGGGGCCCTCTCGAGTCATCCTGGGGCTCCCGAAAAGTCTCTGACGCCGTCTTGAGGTTTTCTTGGTCCCCTCTTGGGCCGTTTCGAGGCGATCTTGGGCGCCTCTTGAGCCGTCTAGGAACGTTGGAAGCCCGAAATGGCAAGAACGACCAAATGATTCAAACACATAAGGGACATCTATAAGTTTGCGATCTTAAGGCGCTCGTGGGGGTCCTCTTGGAGCCTTCTTGGGCCGTCTTGGGGGCCTCTTGGTCCGTATTGGAAGCTTCCTGGGCCGTCTGAAACGCCTGGAGGCCGTCTTCGGGGTGGCTCGGGGCCGTGTTGGGCCGCCAGGGCGGCTATCTGATCGCCCTTGGGGCCGATTTGCAGCCTCCCAACAGCGGGCCTGGCCCTGAAGGGGTCGGCCCCGCCACGGGACTAAAAACGGAACTGGGGGGGAATTCCGAAAAAATGTGCCGCCCCTTGGGCCGACGGCCCGGTTCCTGCACACACACACGTATGCACATATGCATATATGTATATATATGTATATATATATATATATGTATATATATACGTGTATATATATATATATACAGGTCTACATGTGTTTACATATATATATATGTGTGTGTATACACATGTGTATATTATCTAGAACCATCGCGCGCGCTTCGCGCGCGCTCAAGTTCTAGCTAGGGTCATGATCATCGTCATAATTGTCATCCTCATCCCCGTCATCTTCATTGTCATCGTCATCGTCATGGTCACCTTCACCGTCACCATCACAACAATCATCATGATCACCCTCATCATCAGCATCGTGATCACCACCCCCTCATCGCCATCGTACCTTTCAGCATCATCGCCCGCATCATCAACATATTGTTGGTCGTCATCGGCGTCGTCGTCGGCATAGTCATCGTCATCATCATCAGCGTCATCGCCGCCATCATCCCCGGTCTACTGCAGTCCCCTTACCCTCCTCTTCTTCCCGTTCTCCTTCTTCCCATCATCTTATACTCATCCTTTTCCTCGTCGGCGTGTCCCTGAAAAGGGATCCCTGTTCCTTCACTTCCTCCTCCTCCTCCTCTTCTTCCTCCTCCTTCTCCTCCTCCCTGTCTTCCCCGCTCTTCGGTGTGTCCCTCCTTGTGTTCCTTCACCTACTTCACCTCCTTCCTCCTCTCGAGCCCTCTTCATCCTGCGTTTTCCTTCCCTCCTCGTCCTCATCCCCCCCCGAGCCAGAGAAACAGAAAACAAGTTAATCCTACAAGAGGAATGTCCCTCCTCCTCTTCCCCCTCCTCTTCCCTCTCTTCGTCCTCCTGATCTTCCTCCCCCTCCTGCAAAACCCCGAGGAGGGTTCTGCGCGGGAGCCTGGTAACAATGATGATGATAGGTCACCTTTATACTCCCGCACGGCGAAGCAAGTCTCGGTAGCTTCAGCCGTTAAACACTTGAGCCAAAGGCAACAGGGTTACTATTCCTCCCCAGTCACCTGAACGCTTGCATGTTAACACCCCCCTCGGACGCCAGTCCGTACTGGCTGACGGGGAGGTGTCTTCAAGCGCAAAGACAAGTTAAACCAAGCAACATGCTGCACACAAATCGTTACAATGCCGAATTCCAAAGATCTCGTGACAACGTTTACGAGCACCACGTTTCTCAGACATGCAACATGAGCTCAAGTAAACGTTCTTGCAGTCACAAGTTTAAACGTAGCATCCAAAGTTTACACGGCAGGCTAGCATTTATATGATTTTGATTGCTTTCGCTTTTTATTCGCCAATACCTGCGGTAACTACAAAAGATGCACATGCACACAGATTCAGCTCAACAAGCCACTGCAACACGATTGTTAAGCCGAGTTAAGAGGGGAGATGAGGGAGAGCGTAAAAGAACAGCATGCCGGTCACCGGTCGCCGTTTACGAGCGGCGCGGGCGCCTCGCTGACGGGGCGCGTGCGCCCCTGGACCTCGGTAACCCACGATGCCCCACACTGGCCGCTGTGTAGGACGACACCCTGTTAAGGGCCTGCGTCGGGCTGTAATAGTCGGTGTCCAGGTACGCGTTAATCCGCTCCTCGTCATCGAGCCAGCACCCCTCGCCAAAGCTCTCGATGGACCCGTCAACAATGTTGTGGTAGGTGCCGATGGCCCTCCAGTAACTGGCGTGGGGAGCCTTCAACAGAGGTCTACCACCTGGATTGTTACGGAGGTGCTCCTCGACCGCAGCGCCGGTAAACGGGTTCACAGTCCAGGTCGGATCGGTAAGCCAGTTGGGGAAGTCGTCGCACGGTAACCATCCAAACCAGCAGAGCTTCTCACGATGGTCGCTTTTACGCTCGGTGATATGATCAGCAGGCCAATTGTCACGGTAAAGTGCCCTCATGGACCCCTGATCGTTAAGAGCGACATCTAAGATGGTCTGGTGCCAGTAGACTGGAGGCCTGTTGATGCTGCCCTTTAACTCCTCGGCGCTCCTGACCTCGAGGTCCTCGATGAAGTAGTTGCGGTAATGCACCTGGAGCCCGTTCATGTAACGGCAATAGAGCTTGGCAAGGTCAGGCGTCGCAAACCGAATTACGGTAACTCCAGTCGAGATGTAACCGTGCGGCCCATAAGTGTCTTCCACCAGATGCTTAACGGAGACCACGGTGGGGTTGCCGTGGGGCAGCATCCCTGCCCACGTTAAGAGAAGGCCGTTAAGCTGCTTCTCGTTCATCTCCGGCACCTTGTTGACGTACACCTGCGTGTCCGGGCAACTGTGGACGTCAAACCACGATGAGTGAAGATCGTCAACGTGGAGTGGTGGCACGTATTCGTCGTCAAACAAGGACTGTACGTACCCAACTGCGTCAACCCACTCGTCGTGTTT